AAATTTCACAGTATTTCTCCATATGATGTGAAGGGGGGGCCCCCATAAACCTTAATGTTGAGAAACTGGCAAATACCACCTTAACTAAGTAATCAAAATAAACACAATATGCTTCCTGATATAGTGTTCTAAGGATGACACAACATCAACTCTATGGAATTCCTACTAAAAAATGCACAGTTTAAATTCAATCATGAAGAACTGTCAAAGCCAAATAAAGGGAGACTATAAAAATTAATGTGCCAAAAAAAACAACAACAACAAATACACGTTAACTTGCCAATGTTCTTCACAAGTCAACATTATGAAAGACAAAGAAAAACTTAAAACTACACCAGACTAAAGCAAACATGAAGCTGTAAGCAGCGGCACACACACATCATCTCAGCACTTTGAAAGCTGAAGAAAGAGGATCACAAGTCCAAGTCCAACCTGAACCACTTAGGGAGACCCTGTCTAAAAAAGTAAAAAAAACTGGAGATGTAGTGTAGTGCAAAGGCTCTGAGTTTATTCCCCAGTACTGGGATTAAAATAGGATACATGAAAAGAAAATACAAGGTATGATTATAGATTAGCTTCTGGACCAGAAAAGGAAGATTACTGGGATAGATGGTGAATTTTGAAAGTTTTGCAAAAAGGAAAGAAAAGAATATATATGATGACATCAATGGTAATTCTGTGATTTTTATATTTGTTCTATGATTACACAAAATTTTAACATTTGAGAATGTTGGCTAAAGGGTATCTATGAATGTATAGGAGGATTTTTGTAACTTTTAAGCCTAAAATTATCTTTAAAAGAAGCTTTAAAAAAATTTCAAAAAGGGCCAGGGATTTAGCTCAGTGGTTCCACCACCTGCCTCATAGGTGAAAAGGTCCCAAGTTTGATCCCCTGGTACAAAATAAAAAGTTTCAAAAGCCTGATGAGAATAGGTAATAGAAGATTGGGAATATATAGTTGGCACATGTTAAGTACTCAAAACAGAAATTAATGGTAAAATTTTCCAAATTTATATACCTTCTGACTTCTTAGTCACTCATTTAATAAATACTTTATGGACTGTCACTTTTTGCCTAATAGAAAAGTAAGTAAGAAAGATGCAGGGAAGCAAACCAGGCAGTTAGTTAGGCAGTGACTCAGAGATTAATTTTAATACAGCTAAGACTGGTCCTTTCTACTACAGTGAAACTCACTTTTCCTCACACTGTTTTTCTATTTCAAACTATGAAATCCTGAGTCCTGTTTCACCTTGCTTCTCAATTCCACTGTTTCTCCCACTACTGTTGCTATTGAACCATATAATACCAGCCACATGACTTTACCTATAAGTTAAATTTCTCTGGCCTTTCATACTTAATTTATACAACTAGGACACCTTTAACTAACACTGAAAGATTGTTTTGAAGATTAAGTGCTAACCCATAAAAGGAACTGGCTCAGAGTAGACACTCAAAAAATGTTAGCTGCCTTTCCCTTACAAATTATAGTCTCTAGAAGGAAAAAATGGAAACAAAAGCTTTTGTAAATGAGAGGGAGAGGGGTCGAAGGAGAGGGGAATGGGAAAAAACAACAAGCAAGATATATCATGTACAGGTACAAATTCCCTATGATTAATGTTATTATTATGTATATCTAAAATGTACCAATAAATGTTTTGCCTAAAAAAAATTATATTCTCTAATCTACAGATCAACAACTGTTTCACTACAGCAGTCCCCTTTATCTATCAATTTGCTTTCCAGTTTCAGTTGCGTATGGTCAATCATGGTCCAAAGTAGAAATTTCCAGAAGTAATTCTTAAGTTTGAAAGCATGTGCCATTCTGAGTATCATGCAATCTCACACTGTCTCACCTAGTACATGAATTGTCCCTTTGTACATAATATTCATGCTGTATATACTACCTGCCCATTACTTTGTAGCTCTTTCAGTTATCAGATTTGACTATTGCAGTATCACAGTACTTGTGTTCCTTTAATCCTTATTTTATTCAATAGCAGCCCCAAAGTGCAAAAGTAATATTGTTGGCAATTCCAATGTCAAAGAGTATCCATATAGTGATTTTTTAAATGAAAAGATAAACGTTCTTGACTTAATAAGGGAAGAAAAAAAATCATATGCTGTAGTTGCTAAGACCAACATAGAACAAATCTTCTATCCATGAATTTGTGAAGGATGAACAAGAAATTGGTGCCAGTTTTACTGTTTGTTGTGCTTCAGAATGCAATATTACAATGCATGATAAATGCTTAATAAAAGGCACGGAATTTGTGAATGAAAGGTATGAAGAGAAAATGTGTTATTTTAATTGTTTTATTACTATTACTAATCTCGTCTAATTTGTAAATTCAACTTTATCACTGATAAGTACATACAGAAAAAAGTGTACATATGGGCTTCAATACTATGAGTGGCTTCATGCATCCACTGGGAATATTCCCTGTAGATTACTACTATAATCTCTAGGTGAATTTCTGTTCTATTTCCTAAAGAAATAGGCTAGTCTGCATTTCTCACCTGTACATTTTTAAATGTAAATATAGATGATGTTTTTGGTTTATCCATTCTAATAGCATCAGTATTCACTAAAAATTCAATTAACTAAAAAAATGAGTCAGGCATGGTGGCGCACACCTGTAATCCCAGCGCTTGGGAAACAGGAGGCTGAGCCAGGAGGACTGCCTAGAGTTGAGGCCAGTATGGGCTACATAGTGAGTTCAAGGCTAGTCTGAACAACAGAGTAAGACCCTGTCACAAAAAAACCAAAACAAAAACAAAATTAAAAAAACTTTCATTTCTCTTTCAAATATCAGGCCATTATTTTCAACTACTTTTCCAAACATTACCTAAATAATCTCATCATGCCAACTTCAAACTAAGAATTTCAGTATTCTCAATACTGCCACTTATGGCTATTACCATATTTTCCACATATTCCCTTTTTTTGTTTTGTTTTGTTTTGCAAGCTTCAATCCAGTGGACAGATTTAATTTCCAGGTTCTAATGCTTCTCAGATGAGATGCTCCAAGTATTTTCAAAGAGTTCTAATATAACTCTTCAAATCAAACACAATGACAGATATATATATGCCTGACACATAATCTAGCTCTTTTCCTATTTTTCATTACAGATGTACAGTATGGCTCTTTCTGAAAGTAATAATGTCAAAGACAGTACAGTGTCTAATAAAGGAAAGGAGCTTCCCAGAGCTGAGCTGTCAAATGGAAATATTTTTTCTAATTAGAAAACCAACTAAAAACTATAGAACTCCAATCAGTAGAAACAGCTTCTAAATGTGGTATTGTTTTGCAACTTCCTATTTCTGCATTTTCTCCTTAAAATAATCATAAAATATTTTACTCATATGACAACAAAAAATTCTCAATCATATTACATGAACATACTGCACTCAATTACCAAACACAGAATGGCTCTCTTCCCAATATGACTTAAGAAAAACTCAACTGTTCTTTCTTCCTATCAAAATTCCTAGTAAATGACTTAATAGTTACAATACGCCAACATACACATATACATATATAAACATACATCAAGTTTAAAATGATGAACTTCAATTTCACTGATAGTTTAAACTCATTAACATTGCTGTATTTTTTAGTCTCTCTTTTTCAAATCACATTAAATTTCTTCACCAATTTAACTTCCTCATCAATTTAATGAAAACAGACCATCCTGGATAGTCATAATAACTTTTTTCTTTGTGCTACGGATCGAATTCGTGACCTTGCACTTGCAAGGCAGGCACTGGAACCACTGAGCTAAATCCCCGGACCCCATTAATAACTTTTTGATGGAGAAAATAAAAAGATGCCACAAAAGAAGAGTAAAAAGCTGAAATTGGCTACATGATGACTTTCATATTTTACATGTAGAGATAAAAAGAAGCATATAGCCTGGTCCAGTCTTCAGGGGCTGACAATTCAATCAGGAAGACAAAATTCAAACATAGAAAAAGAATGAACAAAGTAACGCAGAATATTAATTGACAAACAATTGGGGTAGATAGTATTTATTACAGCAGTGTGAAAGGTGAAATAGCAATAGCTGCACTGGTGTAACATTCACAGGAAGGGTGGGACTTAAAAGTAAAAGCAAGAAAATTTCAAGTTATAGAGAACAAGTGCTCAGACTATACCATTCAGATGCGTATATTAGTTGGAAGGAAACTGTACAAAAGACTAATGAGGCATCATTAGGGAAAAAAAATGGGCTAATTGTAGAAAGTACAGAGCTCTGAGAGTTAGGCTGAGGAGCCAGAAAACAAGAAACTTACTTAACACTGAGTGTAGCATAACATTTCCACACTATTTCAAGGGTGACAGTGGAGGGAAGGCATTTAATCTGGTAGCATTATTTAACAGCCTGAAAAAACCTGAGAAAGACCAATCATAGTATTTCAGTAGTCCAGAAATAATAGTGGAGGTCTGAACTACAGTAATGACTGTGGAAATAAAAAAGTAAAATTCATTAGCAGGAGGAACTGATACAACTTGGTCAATGATCTGAAGCTAGAGTATACAGAGGAGAAAGAAGAATTAGAATGTTCCCATGGCTTTAAAACAGGGAATAGAGGTGTTGTAAAAAGAAACATAAGATTAGTACCACAGTACATCATAAATCTACATGAATTAGTACTTGACTTGTTCAATTCAAATGTTACTATTCTTTTTGTACTACAAGTGATGATTTGCTCAATTACTATACACTTCATATATAAGGAAACATGACAATTTGAGACTTAATTATTCTGTCTACTGAACTATATAAATAATACAATGCATGTTGGGATATAGATTTCTCTACAGGCTAATCAACAGCCTGGGAAAGTTAACAAAACAAAACAAAACTCAGAGTTGTTATCAAATCCTTTATAAATTTACCTTCCTTTTCCTACAATTCCTTTAACAAAATGGCATCATTTTTTAAAAAGGAAACTAAAAAATACCATACTAGAGAAGTTTCATGAGCTTCTTGGTTACCTTTATTTTATCTCTTCTTAAGCAACAGAATAGACAATTTTCATCAAAAGTCCAATCAGAAACGTTTTCAGGTTCACACTCTATAAAAATAAATATACTAAATTAATAATCACAAAATAGAATTTTTCAGAAAATAAATCAGAACTAATTTCAAAACTGCTATTCAACCTAAACTTCACTAAGATCTCATGAATGTGAGGCACATGCTCCATCAGTGAGCTATAACCCCAGACATGTCTTAAAATTCTTAACTCAAAAACTTTCACTTGTGAGGCATGGTGTCACTGCCAATAATCCCAGCACTTGGGAGGCTGAGGCAGAAGAGTAAAAAATTCGAGCCCAGCCCAGGCAATTCAATGACAGTGAGACTCTGTCTCAAAAAATAAAAAGGGATAGATTGGGAGCTCAGTACAAAGGTCCTGGTTTCAACCCCCAGTACCGAGGGGGAAAAAACAAACCCAACCAAACCAAGGGGAAATTTCTTAATTCCTGTTTCCTAGTTACTATGTATCAATTATAAACTGAAAACAATAGCTTTAAATCACATGAAAACAAATAAAAAAGAGAGGCTTAAATCATGAAGGTATCAGATATGTACCAAGAACCTGAAATACCAAAATATTTTTAATACCTTTAAGTAAACTGAGATCTTTTAATAACGCAGGTCCAAACAGCCCTTCAAGAATAGTTTCAAACCCTGAAAGGGTAAAAGAAAAAAAAAAAATCATTATCACAATAATATTCAGTACAGTAATAGTAATAATCAATTGTATGAAATATGATGCTATTTTCTTCCAATTCTCAAGGATCTCAGGTTACTACTGAAGGGATAAGGAGTGTTTCACTGACAAATTTAGAAGGAGCATTTGCTTTTTTGTCAGTGATGAACACAACACAAATTCATAGCACATTTAAGAACAAAACCCACACCAGATACAACCAAAGGAATGGAAATTCACAAGTTCCTTTACTATTCTACAAAATTTACATAAATTCTCAAGATCCATCTTAAAAGGTACCTTTTTCAATGAAGAACCAAATTGCTTCGAAACTTCCACAGCTTTTTTTTTTGTGGTACCAGGGACTGAACTCAGGACCTTGTGCTTGCAAGGCAGGCAGCGGCACCACTGAGCTAAATCCCCAGCCCCTTCCACAACTTTCTACAGTAATCTAAACTATATTTTTCTAAATAGGAATTGAGAATAAAAACTTTTCAAATTAACAATTTCTTGAAGAAAAATCTTCATGAAAACAACTTTTCTTTCAAACACACACCCCACAGCATATTTTAGGAAATGCCCTTTGTAATTATTTCGCATTGTCACAATGGGACTTGCTAGGTCCCTTTATAAAGAGAAAACCCATTAATTACACATACAGTTATTTATGGGCAGGGAAGGGGCAGAAGGGAGGGAGGAGAAACAGATTGTATGTTTATACAACACACCAGGAATAATGGATTATAACATGGTTCCCAAACTCTGTCATGGACCTCACTGCAAGCTCAGACACTTATTAGGAGGGCTCTGTGAATACTTACGAACTTTAAGCATGACCTGCAGAACGAATTAATGTCTTATATATTCTATCTATATATCTCTTTTCTTTTTCTTTTTTTTTTTCGTACCGGGGATCAAACTCAGGACCTTGCGCTATAAATCCCTGGGCCTATATCTCTTTTCGAATACATAGAAATGCTACTATAATTAAGAAAATACAAAAAAACTTAAATGAAATCCTAGTAGTTTGGGAAATTGTATATTTTGCCACATAATCTACTATCACCTGAGGGTTTATAAGTATTGGGTGCTATAGGGTGTCACTATGTTGTTCAGGCTGACCTTGAACTCACTACACAGCCTTGGCTGGCCTCAAACTCACAGTGATCCTCCTACCTCAGCCTCCTGAGGGCTGGGATTACAGGTGTATTCACCAGAAACAACCTAGCCTACCCTGTAATTTTTTTTGTTAAAAAGCACTCTTGCACTAAAAAGGAAGGGAACTACTAATTTAAAATACTATTGCCTGCTGGACAATTGGGACTACTCACACAGCCATTTCTTTACCATAACTACAGTCATATATAAAATAATAAAGGATATGGAAGGTAACGGGGTAGGAAAGATGGTCCCTAGAAAGTATCTGGCTATTAAGAATAACGTAATTTAAGAGATTTCTTTGTCCTACTATGAAGTCATCACTTTCAATAATCTTTAGAGTCCATTAGCTATATTGTAATTACACATTTTAATTGTAATTAGAACTATTTAATTGTGATTAGAACTATTTTTATAGGAAACGTGAAATTTATTTTAATTAAGGTTGTACAAATTATATTCTAAATGGCTCTTTGTAAATATGAATATAAAAATGACCTAGTTTTTCAAATCACAATTTCCAAGATTCCTTATATCCAAGATTCTTTACTGTAAAGTCAAAGAGTAAAACTTACAAATATATATATATATACACACACATATACGCTACACTAATTTGTTAAACACTATTTTGAGATTGTAGATTTTCCATGTATTATTAGGAATCTATTATCAACTCTCTTTACTTGCCACCAAAATTATTCTAAGAACTTAGCGAGGTGCCTATGCCTGCTTGTTATTTACCCACTATAATTAATTTCTATGGAATTACTATAGCCCTTTGGTCTTCCTTACACTAGGGAGGAGAAAGGGTTGGGACTAGGGGTTGTGGGGGTAGGGAGGTGGTGGTAAAATAATGAGAAGGAAATACTAGGTACTATCTATATGGCCCTGAATACTTAATATTCTCTCATTCATTCATTCACCCCCCCATTCAACAGTATCTAACACAAGCCTCCTACCCCCTAAAGAGGAATTCACAAATATAAACTACAAGTATTTCCATATATTGAAAGTATCAACACACACTGCAAATATAGCTGAGATTATATGTAGCTCTTATTCTGAAGAACAAATCTAGTATTTTTTCCACTTGCATTTATGGGAAATTATAACAAATTCCAAACTTTCATGCTAAGCATAAATAAATGATTGAAAAGGAAAAATGTAAATATAACAAGAAATAATACTAGGAAAGAAAAAACCAAATATAGAATTTGGGAGAGTAAAAAAATTAATTACAAACTATAGAACTTGAAATAAGAAAACTGAGCAAGAGCTTTATCAGTAACACACAGACACTTACAAAATCAACTCACAGATCAAAGCAGTGGAAAAGAAAGACCAAAAGGAAGCAAGCAAAAACAAAAAATTTAATCACAAACTCAAAAGATTTAACCACAACTAATTTTGCTCAAAATTGCAACTATAAACTCCTTCTGCTTACACTTACAACAATACATTAAAACCTTCTAATTACTATTGATTAGGTACTATAAAGCCAATATTTTTTGCTACTCTGTTCACTGGATGTTAATGCCACTCAGTTTTATTAATAATAAATATTGAATTTAGCAGTTGCACAGCAACAGGGAATATCTCATGTGCTGTGCTTGACATTAATGAAAGGCAAACAAGGGAAGAACAAACACATTCAAAATTTATACCATGATCTCACAGAAAAGCCATGAAGATCAATAACAGAATACCATGGAAAACTACTGAAAAAGATGGCCATGTCATTATATTCAATCACTAGGATTTAAAATGTATCTTTACATAATATATTGCATATAAAAATTACTTTATGCCCAGGATTTAGCTCATTGGCACCGTGCCTGCCTCACAAGCGCAAGGTCCTGAGTTAGATCTCTGGTACCAAAAAAAAAAAAATTTTTTTATTGGTCATGACTACTTTCCAGAGAATTTTTATCTAACGTCACAATCTGTCTCAAAGCTGGTCTCTCCAATCACTTCCTTAATAAAACCTGCCATGTCTTCAGAGTATTCCTAAAATACTGCTTTCAAAATACCTCTACCTCTTCAAAGTCTACACTGCTTAGAGAACAAATTCTAAAATTCCTAAGTCCAGCATTCAAAGCTGCTTATAATATGACCCCAATCTCTGTTTAGCAGACTTACTTTCCAGAACGTTCCTGCTCATTCCCCACAGTTCCAGTCAGATTGGTTTTCTACTGTGTTTGGCAGTCACTTCTACCTCTGAGTATTTTCTCAACATTTTATATCTCGTCTTTGCCCTAATAATGTATCTCCTTCAAGGTATTCTTCAATTTGTTCAACAAACAAACATATTCACTTATTTAGCATATTATCACCTGACACACTACCAGGGACTGAAGATGACACTAAATAAGCAGTGGTGAACAGACCTGATACCTACCTTTTAGAGAGCTTTGGTTTACAATTCTCTCATCTTCAGAATTCATAGATCCTGCTCTTGCCTCCTTTTAAATAAAAGCCAATTGTCTAAGGTCTCTTCTGCTTTCTACCATCTGCAAAGCACTGCCTATGTAAGTATTTTGTAAACTAAAACTTGTCATACATAGGCTATCTAAACCCTGTCTTTCTTTTCATGCATTTATGTCTTCCTCCTTAAGAAACTTAAGCAAAGCTAGGTCTTTCCATTTCCTACAATGTTTCTCTTATATTAGGGCCTTTCAATCTTGAGGTTTTGCTTCTGACATAATTACAGAGCTCTGGAAAACCAAAGACAGAAATTTAAAATTTCCCACAAATGCCTCCCTTTTACCTAAATCAAATCTCTACTATTTCTACTTCCAACCAAAAGCAAGTTATGGAAAGTATCAAATACATAGTCAACTAAGGTCAGCAATTTAGAGCCTATTACTTTTGAAATATATATAATATGGACAAGATAAAAAAATAGTTCATGGGTCCTGGAAATATCTCTTCTGAGATAACTAATAAAGAGACTAAAAATATGAGAGAGGTGCTGAAGGAAAGTACATTTTTGCTTTCTGTTGCTATATAATAGCATACCCGAAAACAGGTAATTTATATCTAAAAAGGCTCATATTTATAAAGAAGAGGCTCATGGTTCTGCAAAAAGGCACATTGAAAGGCATGGCACTGGCATTTGCTCAAAAGTCAAATACTGCATGTTTTCAAATTTCAATAGAAAACATTTTTTAAAAAGAGATGACACACAATCAGAAAGGAAGATATGAGAAAAAAGGAATGGGGGGGAAAGGAAAGGGGAAGGAGAATGATTAAAATGTTATATACTACATATATGCCAAAATAAAACCCACTAGGTCTGTAATAATATGTGCTAATTTAAACAAAGTAGTATGTAGTGGTTAGGCTACTATAAGTCCTTTCCTTTTAAATCAAAACTAATCTATAGTCTTTGTTTACATAGTACTTTTGTCTTTTATTCCTTGATCAATTTACAAGGTTTTTTTTCCCTTCTAAAAACTGACTTTAAAATTGCTTTTATTAGTATATGTTTGTGATTCATAATTACATTCATCTTGGGGAATTAATATACAGATCACATCTTGATAATTTTTACATCCCCTCCCTCCCTTCTTCCTCACTCCTTCCCATCTCTATGGTCTACCTCCTTGTTTCCTACCACCTTCCTTTCATTTTGTTCTTTATTTAGATCTTGAGTTTCTCCTATTAAAGAAACTATGCAATATCTAACCTGTGTCTCACTTTTGACTCTTAAAATTTTAAACCTAAATAGAAAATGAACATTAGAGCAAAAATTAATGAATTACAAAACAAAGATAAAAAAGATTTAAAAAGTCAAAAGTAAGGGAAGGGATGGTTA